ATTAATTATCTCCATAGAAAGTAAAAAGTATCTTAGAAACTTTATAAATATAACTGTCATTTATGAGGAATATTGTATGTTATCCAGAACAAGAGCTTATCCATTGACTAGAGTTGTAAGTATTAAGAAAAAAATCAAAACCAAAACCACTGCCATTGAGTTGATTCCTACTCATAGTGACCCCTGTTGGGTTTCTGAGGCAGTAAATCTTTACAGAAGTAGATTGCCCAATCTTCTTTCTGCAGAGTGGCATGTGGGTTTGAACCACCAACCTTCTGGTTATCAGTCAAATAACCTTAGGCACTATGCCACCAGAGCTCCTTAAGTATAAGAAAATGTGGGCTGAATTCCATGGATCTTTAGTTATATTTGACTTATTTATACTATATATAATAATAGGAGAATACCAAACATTTACTCCTGAATGCTAATCTTGAATGAAAGTTTAACAATTTTTAAATATAATGATTAGCTTTGATAGTATAATAGAACCCTGATTAATTAATTTGCTAATTATTCTTCCCTGCTAGGACAGCAAGTATTTGGTCTTTAACTGGGATACATAGCCTGTGTAAAGTGAGTTCAAGTTTCCTTAAGGACTGACATTATTTCTTGTATATTTAACCTTGAAGTCTTCAGTTAAGATTTTTAACCTCTTAACCCAATATACACATCATCTCCAAATATAACTTGATTTAAAGAGAAAATTCATTGAGTGTGTTCTGCCTCTTCCTTTTGCTTTTTTTAGGAGATAGTGCTAGGTAGTCACCTCATAGTCATTTTCCTTCATAAATACTCCTTTGCTCATTTTGTCTACTGCTGCCTCACTTTAGATTACTTATTCATATATCAAACAGGTATTTGTTGAGTGCTTATCATACATAGAGCAAAAATTATTAAACTATTTTGCTATTATCCACCATTTTCTTACAATTGGAGGAGTTGGATTGTAACCAGAATAGTGTTAAACTGAGGATACGTTCTCCAGTTTATCTTTTAAAGAATTTTGGTATTTTTAGTCTTCTCTCTGTCTCTCTGTCTCTGTCTCTGTGTGTGTGTGTGTGTGTGTGTGTGTGTGTGTGTTATGTTTTCTTCTTTCCTAATCCATTTGACAATGTATTGCTTTCAGGACAGCTTGTATTTCTGTCTATCAGATGAAAATATTTTACTTCTATGGAAGTTTTTCAAAGCTTGCTATTTTAAACCTGAGTTTTATTTTATTTTTTGACCTCAAAATAGTCTACAGTTTTTCTTATATCTACATGTGTGTTCACTTTCAAAAAACAATTACTATACAACAATTTTTGAATGATATCTCAAGGATAGTTAATGACTTACAACCATTGGGAATAGAAGAATCTTTTATGGTAGAAGCCACACTTGTATTAGTAGGATAGGCTAAAGTGTTGTAATATATACCCACTTAGGTAATAGCACAATAGAAGCTTACTTTTTACTCATGTAACTGCCCTGGTTAGATATTTAGGAAGGGGGTTGTTTACAAAGTAAAAGTGGAAGTAGATTGCCCAACCTTCCCT